ATTCCGCGCTGCTCTTCATGGCCGGCACATGATGCCGCTAACTTTCTGCCGAGCGCTGTATACGGAGGTCACAAAGAGACGCGACCGCAGCCCGTCATAAACATTTTGCCCGTGAACCGCATCACCCGATGTGCACCCTCGATCGGGTCAGCCTTCTGACGCGAAGGAGGCTTGAGCCGGGATAGTGCATGGATGGGTGACCACCATGCACTGCTGCTGCCAGGCAACGCTGCGGGTGCTGCTACCTTCTCACAGTCTCTGCTCCCCACCAGTTCTTGCAAATACGTCTATCCCGATATCTTTACTTCTCGCCTGGTTAAAACAAAATAGACTTTATTCGTTCACGTGACTCAACGTCTTTCGTCCATTGTCGCGATTGATGAGTAACGACCACAGAAGTGGCACCTGCCTTGCTAAGATTACAAGAAAAATGCTCTTCCTTATTGAACCGTGTCTCTTAAGAGCCCTCAGTAAGATAATTCCCCCCGCGAAGTATTCTTGTATGTTCGGCGGCCTGCTCCGTCCTCGCCGACAGCGGCCCCGGGGCTCTGCGAGGGCTTTACGAGAGGGCAGAGCCGGCGCTGCTGCGTGTAATGAGTCCGAGAGAGTGGCAGCAATGGTTCAGGATCTTTGCCTTGGAGTGTCTGTCTGACTTCCTCAGCCCGGCCTGGGTCAAGCGACACTGTCGCTTAAACGGGTTTAAAATAACCAAACGCGGCAGGATCGCCTTACAGATTGTAGATTTACCGTCAGGCCTGGGGACATGTACTATGCTGGAGAACTTGAATAATTAATTCACGTAGGAGTTGTCTTAAGTGAACTCGAATTTCCAAATCGAGAATAAAGTTTGTTTTTCTGATACTCGTGAAGGGACTTGTCCAGCTACACCACTGCATGGCTACTGTGACCCTTTCAATATAAAACTCTGGTCTCCTAAGAATGCCTTCATTTGGCTCGGTGTCAGTCAATTCTGCTAAATTATGGATAATTATCCACAGCCTAGAATAGGAACACATCACCATCAGTGTGCTGTGATGATGATGATGACAAATGCTACTGTTAGTAATTATGAGATGCATTAATATATAAAAAAAATTACCATTCGCTCAATAACAATCAGCCATGGTCAATCCACTGCTAGATGAAGGCCTCCATTAGCTACCGCCACATCTGACGATCCTGCGATGTACTAATTTACCCAGCACCCATTGCACGTGCACGGATTTTATTTCTCCTTATCCTCTGTCGGTATCTTCTCGGACGCATTCTGTTCCTTGGCCGCTACGATTCCGTTATTATTCAATGTCACTATTCGTATGCTGCACGATATCATCATCATCAGCCACAGCCCGTCCCCTGGATGGAGGCAATCTCACACCTTGCGATAATTAATCCAACTGATGAATTGTCCCATTCCTAAGGAGCGCGTGTACATCATCACTCTTCCTTCCCATTCCGTCGCGACGACATGCGCGTAAAAGAGAAAATAAAGTAACTTTATCGGTACGTCTTCAGGTCAGAAAACGTACCACGGCTCCCACAAGGCCATGCGGGAGGGCGTGTGGCACAGTTTGGCTCCGGCTATCATCGAGTGCGGTCGTGTCACTACAGTCCTCTATGGTGACTACAACGCCTTTAAAAACAACGGCGCTACACCTCTCTAAATAAAATTAACGCCAAACGCTTGCGCGCTTCCGAGATTCAGCAGTGAACGGGACACCCACTCTGGTGCTTGTAGACGTCTCAGAACGGGAAAGGGTTAAAGTGTCCCATCGCTCCATCACCCCTGTGGTCGTCATCAGTCTCATCCATCTGCTTGCCATCATCTCTCCTCGCCACGACGTGTCCTACCCAAACCCACTTACTCTCCTCGACGGGCAAACCCATGTCTCCGCTTTACGTTTTGTTCCCGATGCCATGGGCTCCTTCAGCCAGTCACGTGACCCAATGACCCACGCGAGCCAGTCGGCCGCACGAGCCTCTGGCGCCACACGAGCCGCAGTGAGTTACCGCGAGGCAACGTGAGCGAGCGCGAGCCAAATGAGCCACATGCCGCAGTCCATCACGCGAGCCACGGCTACATGAGCAAGTTACCCAGAGAGCCACGCTAGAGCATGCGAGCCGCAATGAGTCACGCGAGGAGTCCGCGTGTTTTGGGGTTTGGAATTTCCAATCCATAGAGCACGCACATGCGCGTGTGCGTGCGTGCGTGTGCGTGTCTGTGTGTGCACTTCTACGCAGACAGCGCAGAGCGGCGTGGCTCTAAGTCCTCGTAAACCTCTTACTGCGCTAAGCGCGGCCAGCCCGGAGCCATCGCAATGGCCCGCCCGTAATCGTTAACCATTTAGCGGCTGAACATAACGCAGCCGTGTCCGTGTTCATCACGGGGGGGGGGGGGGGGGGGTATTGCCGGCGTCAATTCTTAATCTACACGACGACGGCTTCATCTGAGACACGTAGTGCCATACGGTGGGAACAAAATCAACGTTACTTTTATTGTTTTTAAGACGCAGCAAAATTAAGCGGGGGGGGGGGGCCCTATTTATATACTCTACATGCGATGAATCAACCGACGCTTTAATAGGTTAAGTCATGTAAACGCTTTAGCCAGGATTTTCAGATGAGATGGAACTTGTTTACAGAGCGGCAATGCAAACTAAATATTTCCTTATCCATGACCACTGCAAAACAGTGGGCCCTCTTTCAGGGCATCGAGTGGCCATCCTGATACCAGACCACAAAGTGGCCTTCTCTTGAAATCAATGACACGACTGAGTCACATGGGTGCAGCAGGCGGGGCGGAGTGGAGAACGCCAATACACAAAAATCGAGCGACATCACTTCGATTACCTGCCACGGCTACCATAATCGGTGAGCGATAACCAAATCAGTTCCTGGGCACTCCCGCTTCACCAACCACCAGAGCGCCGAAATATACTGAGACCACTGTGGCGACGTGTGGTAAAACACTCACCACGACCGACACGACACGGGGAGCCCTTCATCAAGCAGTGGATTTAAACTAAAGCTATTGGCGACTTGCAGCGCAGCGCACGGCAGATGCCTTCGCAGTGCGACTCACGACCTCCTCTCGACACCAAGATCCGGGACGGTCACGGCCCCCGCACAGTCTGGAACGCTGTCCATCCCCTCTGCACATCCGCAGCATCGCCTCCATCGTGTTGGAGTTGCGGCAGTTCCGTCCGCAAATTTGCGCGTGTTACAAATTGCATTAATATTATAAACTATTTTTTATTTTACCGGGTAAGGCCCACTAAGCTGCATAGCTCATTCTCAGAGGCCGCCCAGCCACAAATGACGGCTCAATGAAGTGGCTTTTCACGTGGACTTTCATAGCGGCCAAAATACTCTAAACGCACGCCGATTCTAAATGTGGAGGGATAAACGGATTGCCGAGGGGCTGTACATTATTAGTTTAAATGTTTCCTAACACGGCTGCACGATTCCTCGGCAACGCGGGGAAATCAGATCCCTCCGCTGACTCACAATCCGATCCCGAATAAACACGCAAAATAATCCCCTGCGTCATCAAATCCTCTGTGGAATTGCCCCTGCGTACCTCTCCGCTCTCATCTCGCTCTACTTTCCTCCACGTGTTCTCAGCCCCCCTCCGTCAACCTCCGCTCAATGGGAGGAAAGTCCTTTCTCTCTCCACCTGGACCATCCATGCCATTGACTCCCTGCCCCCTGTCCAAGCCTGGGCTCAAGGCCTTCCTCTACTCTGCTGCCTGTGACTGTTTCCTATCAAGGAACATGTGAACATTATGCACAACGATGTTAAATCCCTCGCCTGGTATACATGAGGTCGTGGGTTCAATCCCGACCTCTGATGCCTGCTGTAAATGTGCCTCTCTCCCTGTGGGCATTTTTCCCTCCACATTTACATTCAACATGCACTTAGAGTATTTGTCTGCTATACATTTACACGTAATAAGCCACTTCATTGAGCTATCATGTGGCCACGTTGCTTCCGACAAAAAGAGCTCGATAGCTCAGTGGGCCTTACCTGGAATCATCAAAATAGTTTAGTTTTTAGTGAATAATCCACTGCTGGATGAGGCTCTACACATACTGTGTGGGTTATTTTGACCGTACTTCATCACACCAGTCAGTGTGGGTTGGTGAAGGCAGGGGGCATAGAGGTACAGCACAACGTGGACATTGCCGCTCTGCCCTCTGCTGCCCACATCGAAGCCCTGCAGCAGCCTCTCACGAGCTGCGTGCGTGGTGCTCAACGATTCGACCACCGTGCAGACTTAGTCCGGCTTAGTTTCTGAGAAGTGACGAGATCGGGTGTATTCCAGGTAGCAGTTGGCCATAAATCCCTATCAATGAATTGCCTTGAATACAAACGTCTTCTGTTCCACACACTCCTTCAAGATAAAGAGATCGGTCCACAGGTCCACGATAAGGTACGGGATTGATCAAAGGTCGCTGTAATCAATGCCGTTGATGCCATCACACTCTGCTATTACTCAATTCCTTCTGGAAGCTTCCGCGGAAGGTGGGGAGAGTAATTACAACCGCGTATCGTACTTTCCAAGTAATAATAAAATTAATTATTGTAACCCCTCCGTAGGTGCCCAGTGGCCGGGCTACGAAGAAAAAGGAGAATTGGATGGAGGGGCCCCATTTCATTTCTTGCACCAGGGCTCATGCAAACCACGGCGCCGCGTCACCGATTCGAATTTGGGACCTCAGGTGGTGCCGGCTCAGCGCTCTGACCTCTGACCTCTCAGGCCATCGGCAAGAATAATAAACCTCTCAAGAAAAATCTCATCGACACGTCGAGGTGTACGGCTACGATGGCCTTCTGCCGGGGATGCAATTACCGTCTTGTTTCCCGACCGTCGTCGTAACGCGATTGTGCTCTCTCCGTGCATTGTGCGGAGGATGACACTTTGGGCGGGGGGGGGGGAGCCGAGTGGTTGGTGGTGGGTAATGTGCGGCGGCGGGTGGGCGGTTGGGTGGCCACTCACTGCGGGGCTTTCGCGAGCAGCAGCTGGAGCGTGGGCAGGTCGCCGCGCGCCGCCTGCGTAGTGCACGGCCAGCGCGCCGCTCGCCGTGACGCCCAGCGGGTCGCTGCCGCCGCCGCCGGCGCTGCTCTGCAGCAGCAGCCACTGCACCACGGAGCGCCGTCCGAAACGGGCGGCCAGGTGCAGCACGGTGGCGCCCGACGCAGTCCTTGTCCTGACGTGGACGAGAGACGGGGCGAGAGGCGGTGGCCGATGAAGCTCGGTGCGGCGGCAATTAACAGCGTGGCCGCCGGGTTACGCGACGGGTTCAGAGTTTGTTCGCGAACTCAACCGCGCACGCACTCGCTTATTTCACTTGCCAGCCGGCTCACCCGCTCACTCACCTAACCAGACAACCACACACTCGCTCACGCTCTCACTCTCCATCGCTTCGCTCGTTCACGTAAACCAGGGGTGGGGAACATTTTTTCTGCCGAGGGCCATTTAGATATTTAAAACATCATTCGCGGGCCATACAAAATTATCAACTTAAAAATGTGCCCGTTATATTTGGTCAAACATTTAATTAACTCACCCCTAATGTGATGGCTGGTGATGTTAGCTGGTATTGATGATGTTGCTACTCGCAACTGCTTTTCCAGGTTTGCTCCTAGATTTATTGAATTTCGAGTCCCACCTGCGGTTGCCTTGGCAGGACCACACCAAATGATTTCACGGGCCTCATACGGCCCGCGGGCCAGACGTACACGGTTAGCCAGCTCGCCCACACGCTCACTCACCTGCACACTCACTCAATCACTTACTCACCCACTTGTCCATTATCCCACTTACCCACATGCTCACTCGCACTCACTCGCTTTCCCACTCACTCATTCACATCATAGTGTCGGGGTGAATCTGTTCCGGAATGCCGAAGCAGCCACTGACTGGGGAGGACTGACGGGAGGCTGGTGAGGAGGCAGTGTTTTATGGAGCGATGTTGAGAATAATGACAATGAATTAAGGTTGGAGATGCCAACATGAAGGGGTTCACGATCAATGTGCAGGGCTAAAAGTCGCCTTCGTACCCAGTGCACAGAGCGACGGGGATTGAGGCCTCCCTCTCTCAAAACGCCACGCAGGTACAGGCGAGAACTATTGCCGTGGGGGTGATGGAGTTGGAAGGATACCCACACTTTAACCCCACCACAAGTGACCAACTACGGGTTAGCAAAGGCCTTGGCGGATGATGCAATATGTCCATTCATTCATTCACACGTTCTCTCGGCTACAGAGCGCCGTTGGCTCCGTAAATCGCTCTCAATCTATTTTCTCGAGTCACCACCACTCGGGACAAAGTCAAGCAAGCCGTTTAATGAATAACAAACGGCGATAAAACAGTGTCCACTCCGGGAAACACGTGCACCGCAACGCTCAGTCACCAGACGTTGGATGGAGCCACCTCACACTCCCTCCAGCGAGACGTCTGCACGACCTGGGTTCGATCCCAAGTCCAGAACTTTCCCCTTCCCCACTGGAAACTGTCCGTCGACCCGACCACCGTATTCCATACCACCCCTGCCACTGCCAACCCTGTCCTCCAATCGGTCACGTATCCCCCTCTGCCACCCTCATCCATCCTGCCATTCACCTCTCCCCGCTGCGTAACATTAAAGGCTATAATTTTGTACAATTGGCGTCCGTGCCATCCTTGTAGCGCGGGGGCTATCACGAAGGCGCTCGGCTTCACAGGCAGCCTGCGGTAGCTTGCAAGTAGGGGGCGCTGGTGCCGTGCGTCAGCCCCATTTGAGCACGGGGCCCCCCGGCACTCGACGGCCGAACTTGTTTTCGATCTGTGACGTCCACTGCGAAAGCAGACGGAGTGTTGTACGGTTGATACGCCCCGCGGGATTAATAGGGATTATAATTGTTGCAGCCCCAGCACTTGGGTACACACACACACACCGCATAGTACATCATCTCCATTCTTAAGGTTACACAATATAGTTACACTAAGACAGGAAAACAAATATTTGCGTGTATTATTGTCCGCCATGGGGTTAGCTAGGGTCTGCCACCTGAATGTAAACATCAATGGAGCATTGTTGCAGGTATTTATTTTCTCTCCTTGCATTATTGGGGCATGCACACTCACTTGCACAAATGCACACTCATCAGTTGAACATACAAAGATCCCCCGTGTAGCCTTTAACAGCCTGTTGGGGCAAGTGCTGTTAGCGAGCACCTGTGAAGGCCGGCACGGCACACGAGACAGTGGGTGGCCAGCACCACGCCCGGTCGCCTTTCTCTCTCCGGTTCTGATCTTTACATGGCACATCAGGAAGTACTTTAAGGCTGAGTCAAACTATGGGGGAACCAGGACCAGTCGAACTATTCGCTACTGATATTGGTCACGAGTGGGAAAAAAACTCGGGTCACCAGGTTCACGGCACAGCGCGCTAACCACTGCGCCACCGCTCCCGCCCCCCCATCAGTTCACACACACACACACGAGAAACTGTGCATGTGATCCAGCGCGCTAACCACTGCGCCACCGCTCCCGCCCCCCCATCAGTTCACACACACACGCGAGAACCTGTGCATGTGATCCAGCGCGCTAACCACTGCGCCACCGCTCCCGCCCCCCCATCAGTTCACACACACACACACGCGAGAACTGTGCATGTGATCCAGCGCGCTAACCACTGCGCCACCGCTCCCGCCCCCCCATCAGTTCACACACACACACACACGAGAAACTGTGCATGTGATCCAGCGCGCTAACCACTGCGCCACCGCTCCCGCCCCCCATCAGTTCACACACACACACGCACGAGAAACTGTGCATGTGATCCAGCGCGCTAACCACTGCGCCACCGCTCCCGCCCCCCATCAGTTCACACACACACACGCACGAGAAACTGCATGTGATCCAGCGCGCTAACCACTGCGCCACCGCTCCCGCCCCCCCATCAATTCACACACACACACACGAGAACTGTGCATGTGATCCAGCGCGCTAACCACTGTGCCACCGCTCCCGCCCCCCCATCAGTTCACACACACACACGAGAAACTGTGCATGTGATCCAGCGCGCTAACCACTGCGCCACCGCTCCCGCCCCCCCATCAGTTCACACACACACACACGAGAAACTGTGCATGTGATCCAGCGCGCTAACCACTGCGCCACCGCTCCCGCCCCCCCATCAGTTCACATACACACACACACGAGAACTGTGCATGTGATCCAGCGCGCTAACCACTGCGCCACCGCTCCCGCCCCCCCATCAGTTCACACACACACACACGAGAAACTGTGCATGTGATCCAGCGCGCTCGGGAGGTGGGGGTTGGTGTATCTCTTCGGAGATTTAAGTGAAACGCCCAAAGCCGTTGAGGCGCGAGGTGGCCAAGGTGTGGCAGCGGAGCAAGTGGATTAGTGAGTCCATCCGTGCGGACATCCGAGTGCTGTCTCGTAAGAGTGGCTTTTATCCCACAAGCCACTCAACATTGAAATTGACCAAACATCCCAATGCAGGACCCTCCTGAAAAACGAGTCTTGAGATTCATGGGGGCTTTCCTGCACTAATAAATGACATTCTTACACCGGGATGTTCCACTTACAGACACCCCCACTAAAACAATAGGGGCAAACAACATTCCGAGCCAAAGCCTCCACAGGTCTCTCAACAGAATCTCGATGCAGTTCTACGTTTTTATATGTTGCTTTCACAACATTCAAATCAGCTGCTGGGAAAAATGTCAAGGGGGTCATTATCAATCACTGGGGTATCTATTTATAAATGGACCGCGCTTGATTATGAAACAACAACAATAATAATACAAATGCAATTCGGCGCAGTTGAATAACTCCATACACACACACACATATGAAATAAAATAAAACCACCCGCACGTAAGAGAGGTCATCCACTCAACGATCCGCACGGGCAGGTCCGCACACCCACTGGCTGCATCGCCACCTCCTGGCCACTGGCAGGAAGTTTTACTTCGTTGCACCCAGGTGGCGACAGCGCCGAGCAGACCTGGACGAGAGTCTCATTTTGCCAGAGCGACCCGGCTCACTGTGGGCTGCGTCACACACACCTGCGTCACACACCTGCATCACACACCTGCGTCACACACACCTGCGTCACACACCGACACTACACACCTGTATTACACACCGACACTTCACACCTGTATCACACATCTGTATTACACACCGACACTTCACACCTGCGTCACACACCTGCGTTACACACCGACACTACACACCTGTATTACACACCGACACTTCACACCTGCGTCACACACCTGTATTACACACCGACACTACACACCTGTATTACACACCGACACTTCACACCTGTATCACACACCTGTATTACACACCGACACTTCACACCTGCGTCACACACCTGCGTTACACACCGACACTTCACACCTGTATCACACACCTGTATTACACACCGACACTTCACACCTGTATCACACACCTGTATTACACACCTGTATCACACACCTATATTACACACCGACACTTCACACCTGCGTCACACACCTGCGTTACACACCGACACTTCACACCTGCGTTACACACCTATGACCGAACACGCCCCCTGCGGCGCACGGGCCCCGCGCACGTGCGCCCACCACGCCCAGAGAATCAACAACAACAGCAGCAGCAGCCGAGGCGCTCCGCGACCCTCCGGGCGAGATGGAAGGCTGACGCGGCAGGGCAGCAAGGGGAAGCCGCTCGCGTGAGCGACGCGCTGCCGCGGGGGAGTTTCCTCTCCTTGCGAGCGTAACCCTAAGCCGGCAGCTTGTCCCGGGTCTCACCTCACTGGCCGGCGAGCTGACCGGACGTGCGTGCGAGCGAGCAGGCGTGCGTGTCTGCTCGCGAAGACAAAAGCCCCAGGCCATTACAATGGTGCAAATGAGCGCTTGAGCAGGTGAGCCTGTGGAGGCGGCTCGCACTGCTGCTGCTGCTGCTGCACGCACGTTTGTGTTAAGTGCTGCTCGCAACACAAACATTTGCCAAAAATAGCACACGCGTAAAGACAACCACACGTTTCAAACACTGCAATTTGGAATAATGATCGCCAGCCGTGGTCTATCCACTGCTGCAGGACCCACCAAAGCGTCGCCACGTCCCGCGGTCACGCAATGCGATGCTCATTCCAGGTTCTGCACACCGGCGGATTTCATCAGTCCATCTCCACGGTGGACGCCCCATTGTGTGCGTTGTTCCCCTTTGGCTGCCTCTCCATTAATAGTTCCGACCAATGGCCATCATCATCACTTCTAGTAATGTGGCCCGCCCAAGTCCACTTACTTCACCTTACAGCCGCATGGTGCCTCTAAATTGTGCGTGTTCTCTGATCCGTGCGTTCCTCCTGCTCTCTCAGTCTCATTCCAAGTGTGTACTGTTTCACGCCTCTTTGCACACTACAGATCTTGCCGCATATTTGTGGTCTACGTGCACGTTGCTGATCCATGTTTAATTGGAAATGTTCTGGCGCAAAAAAATATTGAGAGTAAATTAAGACTGCACCTGTAGTGGACTTTCTTTTTTAATATTCATTATATGATGATCATTTCACCCGGGAAGGTCTCACTGAGTCTCAGACTCTTTTTCAGCAGGTTCCTGCCAAGTTTTTGGAGTAGGGGGGGGGGCGGTGAGGGCGATGTTGCTACTCGAGTAATTTGCGGGTAAAGTTTTCAGCGTTGGCGTGTTTGGCCGAAGCGAGTAACATTCTAGCTACAGGAGGAAACCAATGGGAAGCCCAACATCACACCACTTGGCTTTGATGTCCCTCGAATACGTTGGTGGGGCCATGAACCGCATCAGAATATCAATCAGTTGATGCTGCACCACATCTCTTTCATGAAGGGATAACTAAAGACGAGCCGCAGGAGAGCGAGTGATCGTGCAACCCAAATAAAACGTTGACTTCATCGTAAACCAGATATTATCATCTGCACTCATGCAATTCAGGAAGAGCAAAACGAATACGTTGGTGGGGCCATGAACCGCATCAGAATATCAATCAGTTGATGCTGCACCACATCTCTTTCATGAAGGGATAACTAAAGACGAGCCGCAGGAGAGCGAGTGATCGTGCAACCCAAATAAAACGTTGACTTCATCGTAAACCAGATATTATCATCTGCACTCATGCAATTCAGGAAGAGCAAAACGAATACGTTGGTGGGGCCATGAACCGCATCAGAATATCAATCAGTTGATGCTGCACCACATCTCTTTCATGAAGGGATAACTAAAGACGAGCCGCAGGAGAGCGAGTGATCGTGCAACCCAAATAAAACGTTGACTTCATCGTAAACCAGATATTATCATCTGCACTCATGCAATTCAGGAAGAGCAAAACGAATACGTTGGTGGGGCCATGAACCGCATCAGAATATCAATCAGTTGATGCTGCACCACATCTCTTTCATGAAGGGATAACTAAAGACGAGCTGCAGGAGAGCGAGTGATCGTGCAACCCAAATAAAACGTTGACTTCATCGTAAACCAGATATTATCATCTGCACTCATGCAATTCAGGAAGAGCAAAACCACACGAACTCTCCACTGAAGCCCTCTTGTGGCTTAGCAGACCTCGATATTGGCATTTAACTCCTAAACATATTGCCATTGACGCTTATATTATGTTAGGTACACACTCTGCTGTTTTATAGTTGTATCTTCAATCTTCAATTGGTTGGCGAATTTGTTGCACGCAATTCTTGTTTTCGTTCGTATTTATCCTGAGTCCGGCGTTGCAGAATTCTTCACGAGGTCCTTGCGTCATTTCCCCGTGCTTCATTCCCACCGGTCATTGTTACGGACTTTCTCGACGACAAAGCCGGATTCACAGCGCATCCGAAATGCGTCCGGATCTCAGAATGTTACGTAACTCCGGGGGCTGGGGCTTGCGCATGGAGGCGATTGATTCAAATGGATTTCGTAGTGGTACGAAGCCGAGGACATTTTCACACAAAGCGCCGGATACTTTAATAAAGACAAACATGTCACGTACCAGACACCCGTGCTGTGTGCACATACGGTGTCATATTCCATGGCTACACGTGTCGACGCTGCTGTAATACAAATATGCGTGTGTGAGCTGGCAGGATACCTGAATGTAAACGCAGAGCCCTATTTCCATTCCACAGCTGGATGAAGACCTCTCCGCGGCGCGGCTGCCCTGGGGATTATCTGACCACGTTTCCCCGCGCTGGTCAGTGCATGTTGAAGGCGAGAAACACAGACAAGGGAGCATAGACGTACAGTGCAACACTGGACGTTTGCTGCACTGCCATTTGCTCGCCAGCCCTGTGGCAACCTGTTTGTCCACGGTGGTAACCCCTCAAGCCATTATCCAGGCTCAACCATGCTCACCTTCCGAGACATCTTGACACCAGGCGCATTGCGAGCGAGTTGGACACGGGCATGCCTCTATACCCCGTGCAACATAAACACCGCAGATCACAAGATACACACGAGTAGGCAGACTACGTGCGGGCAGCGATTGGGGTCAGGTGACCACACGTGGCACACGAATGCGTACGACCTCAATATATGAATGGCAACAACATAAACAATGGGTGGTCTTATACATGATCATCATCATCGTGTGTACCGCATATACGTGTGACACCATAAACGTGTAACACGCGGACCCATGTGTGCACACCTGTTTAACTGCACACAGGACCAGGTATACACACACGTGTGTGTACACTCACCCACGTGCAATCGGTGAACGCGCTGCCATAACGACACGGAATCAGGGTTTGCGCAGTGCCAGGAGTATGTACGGTTAGGACAGTGGTTCTTCTTCTTCTTAACCTGGGGTGCATCACGCAGCCCCTGGGGGCGCGAGACGGGGCCAGACTTTTGTTAGAAGGCAAATAATCCAAACACAAATTAAGCAGGGGCACGGAAGTACGACTACTTTGTTTCATCAAGCCGATGCGTTTATTAACTTTCTAAATGTGTTAACGGTTGAGAAACCAAGGGGGTGCAAGGCTGCAGTAAAGGTTACGAATCACTGGGTTCGGTGCACACACCCCACCTTGATTATCAGCTGTACACATCTCCATGTGTGCTGTACACAGCCAGGTGTGCTCAGGTGTGCACACGCGCAGGTAAGTAAATATACCACTTTAAATACCCACAAGGGTGCATGGCCCACCAGGTAAACCCACAGCCACCTGGAAGACCTCAGGGTTACACACAGCACCTGGTGCGTCCACAAAGAGTTATCCACGTGTACACACCCACGTGACACCCCAGCCACGTGTGTACACACCCACGTGACACCCCAGTCGCACTCGTGTACACACCCACGTGACACCCCCAGCCACACGTGTACACACCCACGTGACACCCCCAGCCACACTGTACACACCCACGTGACACCCCCAGCCACACTGTACACACCCACGTGACAACCCTGCCACACGTGTATACACCCACGTGACACCCCCAGCCACACTGTACACACCCACGTGACAACCCTGCCACACGTGTACACACCCACGTGACACCCCCAGCCACACTGTACACACCCACGTGACAACCCTGCCACACGTGTACACACCCACGTGACACCCCCAGCCACACTGTACACACCCACGTGACAACCCTGCCACACGTGTACACACCCACGTGACAACCCTGCCACACTGTACACACCCACGTGACACCCCCAGCCACTCGTGTACACACCCACGTGACAACCCTGCCACACGTGTACACACCCACGTGACAACCCTGCCACACGTGTACACACCAAAGGTACACCACGTGTGTACCGAAGCTCTCCTCCGAACGGTACCCACCACGTTGGGTGTATCCATGGCTACCGTGACCCGTACGTGACCCACCCACGTGTCTCCCAGTCACGTGTATCCACACGGGCAGCTGTGTCCACCGGGCCACGTGTGGGTGGGTGTGTATGCAGAACTTTTTTCGCACCGTACCTAGCCAACCGTGCTAATCGGAGGTGCCACAACACACAGCACATGCACTCCTGTGCGTAGCCAGCCGCTGCAGCCAGGTCACGTTTACACACACTGACCAACCACGTGTACAAAGACCCCCAGTACTCTATAGACTTGTGCTGTCAGCGAGCACCTATTGGGTGGTCAGCACGGAGCCAAAACGCCTTGCGTCTCCAAACTCCAGTGGCGAAGTTTACACATCGCACCAGGTACTCATTTGAGGCCGAGTCGACCTAGGGGAGGCCCAGAACCGGTTCAGGCAATCGTCACCGGCCGTGAGCGGGAATCGAACTCGGCAGGGCCAGGTTCGTAGCGCGCTAACAGCTACACTACCACCACCACCACGGGGACCCTACCACGGGTCCCCATGTCTGTCCACATGAGCACACGGCACCAGCACGGCCCGTTACCGAGGTGAGTCACAGCACGCGCGGTCACCTCTAAGGCGTCAGGTGTAGACAGCGCGCACGTGCACCCCACCGGTCGCACCAACCCACGTGCACCCTGCCCATGCACACCGCGACACCCACCCACAACACCACCGCGACACCCACACACACACCGCCGCGACACCCACCCACACACCGCCGCGACACCCACCCACACACCGCCGCGACACCCACCCACACACCGCCGCGACACCCACACACACACCGCCGCGACACCCACACACACACCGCCGCGACACCCACACACACACCGCCGCGACACCCACACACACACCGCCGCGACACCCACACACACACCGCCGCGACACCCACACACACACCGCCGCGACACCCACACACACACCGCCGCGACACCCACACACACACCACCGCGACACCCACACACACACCGCCGCGACACCCACACACACACCGCCGTGACACCCACACACACACCACCGCAACACCCACCCACACACCGCCGCGACACGTGCCACCCGCAGCGGCAGGCCACCCTCCCCGCGCCGCGCCCTGACCCTCTCACCTCCGGCCGGCACCCGCCGTTCGTGAGCAGCCACTGCAGGCAAGCCAAGTGGCCCGTGACCGCGGCGTCGTGTGCCGGCGTGGCCCCGTTGAGGGCCCTGGCGTGCCCGGGCAGGCCGCCCTCCTCCACCACGTAGCGCAGGGCCCCCAGGCGCCCGGCGCGGGCCGCGTAGTGCGCCGGCGTGGCCCCGTGGTGGCTGTCGGTCCACGCATCGCGGTCTTCCTCCTCGTCGGGCCCCTCCTGCCCTTCCACGGCGTCTTGACGCTGCCGTCCAGCCCCCCCCGGGGGGGGCAGCAGCAGATTCTGCAGCGCGGCGACGTCTCCGCTCTTGGCCGCCTCCATCAGCTTGTCCGTCGTGGACGCCGCGTCCATTGTCAAGCCGATGCTGGCGATGTTGTCGCTGATGCCGACGACGACGCTGATGGTGGTGGTGGTGGTGATGTCGATAGCAGAATCCTGTGTCGCATATCTTCCCCTTGTTATTGTTCACCTCGTGAAATGTCTAACGCGCTCGATTAACTAATTGCCAATTCGCGAATGTTCGTTCAATGTTGTGCAGAATTCACTAGTATAAAAACAATGTGCCCTACTTTGAAAGTGTTACGTTTGTGGATTCATCCTTCCAAATTAATTGTATTTTATTTTAAAACAGCGCTTACTTCTTTCCTCGTTAGAACTCGTCCCCACACGTACCGTTATGCTGCACAATGGTAAACACTCTAGCAACGTAACAACGCACGAGCGTTTCTCACGGCAGCTGCTCCTGCTGCTGCTGCTGCCTGCTTGTTGTTGTCGCCGTGCCACCGAGCGCCACTAAGAGGGGGCCCCTTCAGCGCGTGGCCACGGCTGTCTCCATGGAACCTGAGCCGCGCTGGCGAGGCGAGGCCCGGCCCACAGCGGCCGCCGTCACCACCTCGTGGGCGGGACCTCGCCTCGATAGACGTGGTGTGTGTGTGTTTGTTACTAAATAGGAAAGTGATCAAAGCAACTGGAATCGTAGTTGTGGGTTTGCTCTCCCACGCATCGGGGGTGCTGAACTAGTAACGAGTGGCCTCGATAGATGTGGTGTATGTTTGTTACTAAATAGGAAAGTGATCAAAGCAACTGGAATCGTAGGTGTGGGTTTGCTCTCCCACGCCCCGGGTGTACTGCACTAGTAACGAGTGGCCTCGATAGATGTGGTGTGTGTTTGTTACTAAATAGGAAAGTGATCAAAGCAACTGGAATCGTAGGTGTGGGTTTGCTCTCCCACACACCGGGTGTGCTGAACTAGTAACGAGTTGGCACGCTTTGTTTTACGCGACAAAGTTTACTAAGTGGCGGGTTTAACAACACATTTTTACGCGAAACATCTTAAAGTGACGACGCGCAACAGAAAAATCCATGGAAAAAACAGCAAAGTCTCCAAATTTGCACGGTTGGCTACGTACGGTGCGAAATAAGTTCTACAGATATACGTTAGGCCCAGTGAGCGATTCACTATTTTTCAGTCGCGACCTGGCTATCACAACTTATAGCCCAAAGAAGTGGCTTACCATGTGAACATTTATAGCTTTCCAAATACTCTGAACCTGTGGTGACGTTGATTCTAAATGTGTAAGGAAAAACCGGAGGACCCGGAGAAAAATCCACGCGACCACGGGCAGAGAGACGCAGACTCCACATACACAGGGTGCTTCACATTTATTTTAACACTTATATGGGACTTTCGTTTTTAATGGAAAAATAATGGGAAATAGACTGTAACATGATAAGAAATGTATGTTAATAGCTCCAAAAAGTCTCCACTTGATCGCCATCATTGTCAACACGTGCCTGGAATATTCTCCAGGTGGTCTCCAGAGCCCGCAGGCAGCACATGTCTTGTGGTAGTTGTTGCAAATTCTCAGAAGTGTGAACATTTTTTGAAGTACCCTGTACAGCAGGCGTCAGGGTCGCGATCGAACCCACGACCTCCTGTATACCAGGCGATGTAGTTAACATCTCTTAGCCACCGTGATAATGAGAAAGAGAGACGCAAACTCTAAATATAAAGCAGCAGGCGTCACAGGGTCACGATCGAACCCACGACCTCCTGTATACCAGGCGATGTAGTTAACATCTCCTAGCCACCGTGATAATGAGAAAGAGAGACGCAAACTCTAAATATAAAGCAGCAGGCGTCAGGGTCGTGATCGAACCCACGCCCTCCTGTAGACCAGGCGAGGTAGTTAACTTCTAGCCACCGTGATGATGAGAAAGAGAGACGCAAACACCAAATATACATCAGGCGTCAGGGTCGGGATCGAACCCACGACCTCCTGTATACCAGGCGAGGTAGTTAACATCTAGCCACCGCAGCACCCCAAAGGCGAATGCTGATTTTAACGCAGCAAGTCCAGAACGTGCCGGTTAGACTCCCTCTCTTGGGAGATGCGTGTCATGTCTCTGATTCGATGGTCTTTGCCCAAGCACCGTCAATCAAAATACATACCATGATGATAACCTTGTAAATAAGCTTAATGTGATTACAATTAGTTTTTTAAAATAAAAATAAATCAATGCAGCCACATACTTCACATGTTAATAATGTATAACTTGTACGTGGCACCAGTTGCGATGACATGTACTCTACTACCGCTTGCAAATTGCGTAAATACATTTCGTTACGTTTCTCAATATCAGCAATGATCACTCCACTGGCTGGATGAAGTCCAGCCCAAGCCACTACTATTTACGATATATATGAAACTCCAATACATTCGCCAATAACACTGTTGCTTTAAAAGGAAGCAAATATAAATATATATAATAGGCGACGTTTCGGGGCAATATCTATTAACACAAATATGCTATGAAGAAGTGTTATGAAGAAGGGCCAATGGCCGAAACGTCGTCTACCATATATTTTCTTCTAAGGCCACAGTCGTGGTGATGAATGTGTGCTGAGTCTTTGCTGTTGTTGTGAACGTCCCAACAGCGAGGCTCACGGGAAAGTGTTGCCCTCCGGTGGGCGAGTGGACATCTGTGACATCAGATATATCTTACCGGACGTACGTGGGCAAAGAGCTTCATAGCTCATCGGATTTCCCCAAGATAAATAAAGATTCTGATTCTGAGTGTGCGATCGAAACGTCGTTATCTAGTAATTTTCTATCTACGTGACTTTACCGAAAGAACCAAAGAGTAACAATGTATATATTGAATGTATACGTCGGTTTATCGTTACACGACTAATTTGTGGCAAATCTTACAAAAATGACGAGTGCTAAAAAACAAAGGTACATTTCTATGACAGGCGCCAGTCCATTTACGGGACGCGGGAAGATCATCACATTAAGTTGGGTTGTGTAGTTATTTTGGATTCCAGCTGTGAGAGTTAAAAACACGAGTTTGTCGTCCGATGAACATGAAACCGAATTAGCAAGTTGGGTGTGGACGTGCTGCCCTCTAGTGCGAAGAAATCCTCAGTACGTCTGTAGTAACTGATACTGTTATCTCGTGACTGAGTGCGTTCATATGTTTAAAGGGTTAGTTACTCTAATGGCTCGGCGAGATTTTGTTTTATGGATTAGTCATATCAATAGCACCATCGGGACAGAAATTCTGAAGAGAGAAAAAATAAGCGAAAGAATGTTGGCGCGATATGCACAGTGTGCAAATCTATATCAGCACGAATGAGTCCATTTCAACAACCTGCATTGACCAGCGTGGTGAAGTATGGTCAAACATTTATCATGAATGACACGGCATGGGAAGAGCCTTCGTCCAGCAGTGGATTGATGAAGGGTTCAACGTTATTATTAATTTCCATGCACGCGTTCGATTTTTATGTTCTTTGCTGAACATTTGAATACAAATGTTTCCAATCGTGTTACTTTGCCGTGCCTTGATGCGGTTGTAATAGTATAATGTCCGTAGGTTGCGCTGTGATGTGCAAGTGGTTGAAGTCAGTGGCAAGTGCCCCCCCCCCTCCTCCACCTTCATCAACCCGCGCTGACCAGCGTGGTGAAGTATGGTCAAAATGTCATTACCGACACATTGTGGGTAAGCCTTTATCTCGCAGCAGAGCTATCGTAGAAGATTCTATTCCTATTCTCGTTCATGATGATGATGACTGCAGTGTGTTCTAGGAGCTGAATGTCAACTTCGAGGTCTGCTGCTGGCCACGACGAGAGGGCTTCAGGAGAGACGGTTCGTGTCGTGTTGCAATTCGTCCTCCGTGGCAGGAGCGCAGACGAGAGTGGTTGTCTGCATGGTCCCCAGTTTCTGCTGTATTCATGCAATTGTCATCATGGCTCGTGACAACTGCATAGAGATATATCAGCTGACATGGGCACCTTTCAAAAGTGCACCCGAAAACCAAAAAAGACACGCTCACACTCAAGCCGCCTCGATCTGCGTGATTTTGTTTAACAAAGTGTATCCCAAAAGCATCTCGCACGGCCCAGCGCTCGCAGGTGATCCATCACGCAAATGTCGACTGCTCCCCCTCCCTCGCTCCATCTCTCTCCCTCGCTCCCCGCCCACCACCTCCACTCTGCACACGTTCAGAGTGCCGGAGCGGGGTGTGCGGAAGGTTCCCGTGGGTCGTTTGGGGCTGTGACTGCGTGACTTGGGTGGGGGGGAGGAGGAGGAGTTGAGTCGGGAGCGGCCCCAGACACCGCACGTGTCACGGCATGGCGGGGTGGCCCCGAGGGGGGCAGCTAGGGGAGGGTGGTGGTGGTGGTGGTTGGGGGCGGTGCGCATGATGGTTGACACCACCTGCTGTTCCACCGGGTACTCCAGGGAGCAGAACAACGAGCGAGGGAGTTGACCCAGCGTGAGGCCTTCGAGGTTAATCGATGGCTACGCTTTGACTCCTCGGTGTGGTGTCTGGAGCCCATCAGCCCCCGCTGTTCTGCAGCTCCTCCCATCATCAGCAACCCCTCCCCCACGCTCGAGTTGTCTCAACACTCTCAACTCAACCGCAGCTTTGGTTGTATTTGTGTCGCCGAGACTTCGAACGGAAATGCCAACAACTCTCAATTAGTTTTACAAACTCGAACGGGGGAAGAGGAGTGGTGTGCATCTCTGTCGGCGGCTCTGAGCCACAATGTTGGAAATTCCGCATTCCTATGACGGGGCGCCAGCTACGCAAAGTGGGTGCTAATGTTGTCACCCGACGAGAGATAAAGGGCTTAATGCTGTCTCACAAGTGAGACAATTAAAGGGGAACCATGCAAGTGAGACAGAAATAAAAACGAGGCAGAAAAAAAGGACCGGTCTTCAATTGAATCAAACCCCAAACGGTAACAATTCTTACCTTGTCAAACCCACCTCCGAATAGCGCGGTTGGCTACGTACGGCGCGATAGAAGTTCAACATACATACGTACGAAAGCGGGGAATAAGCAGAACCTGCAGGGTAAAACGGCCGCAACTAGGCGGGGGTGAAGGGCAGTTTAGAGAGGTGAGTTTTCAAAGACAGACTTAAATCTAGCGACCGATTTTGATTGTCTTATTAGCAAAGGGCAGATCTTCCAAAACTTGGGAGCTGCACCGGCAACAGCCCGATGAGGCCCTGCCAGGAACAGAAACTTGACCTCGGAGTCCTGAGAAGAAAGCGATCCGAATATCTCAGAGGGCCTTCGTTGGAGAGTGAACACGGGATCGGTTCCCTGTGAATTGTGCGGGGCTAACCCATTGAGTAGTACCACAGAGGTCAGCACCAGCAGCATGGTCCTACAGCTCACTCGGCACTTGACTGGTAGCCAGTGCAAAGACAGGAGAGCGGAGAGCGCCTGTGATGTGCTCGCCATTCTACCAGGAGTACATTTTTTGCCGTTTTTGAAATTGTGTTTTTTTTAAACGCCGTCACTTTTGCCTCGAGTCATTGTCTATGTTGTTGCGAGCCACGCGCCGTC